ATTCCGTCGCTGACCACCGTAGTTGGGAGTTTCCCGGAATGCAAGGGATTGGATGCAACATAGTCTCCCCATCCGATACCGACAATCTCCTCTTAATGCTACAAGAGCTTCGCGTATCACCTATCGGCGCAAACGTCACTATTTCTGCCGCCGTGTATGTTAGGCCGTTCCCCACGACCAACAGTAGCACTATCCCTCAGATAGCAGCAACCCTCGACTGGATTGTACCCATGGTGTACGACCTCTCGTGGAACTGGACTGCCGGGTCCCCCTTGGAACAGCGCGCACTCCCGACGTCCCCACTCAATGATTCTTGTTTCGCAGCAACTCCAGGTGCGACGGGTGATGGATTGGAGGGACGCGGGAGCGCCGTGAGCGCCATACAAGAGTGGACTGCAGCAGGGTTCCCGCCCTCTAAAATTGCTCTGGGCGTACCTGCCTACGGGCATTCGTTCAACGTCAACAGCAGCACGGCTTTCCTTACCCCGTCGCCCGGCACCACCAACAGGTCCTCGCAGCTGGCCCCTTATCCCCTTTACAACACTCTCAATCACACCATCGGTGACTCTTGGGATAGCACGGGTGGGACAAATCTGTGTGGCGTGAACCAAGGCCCGGGTGGCACCTGGGACTTCTGGGCGCTCGTCAAGGCGGGATACTTGCTCGCGAACGGAACAGCGGCGCCAGGCGTACCGTTCCGCTGGGACGACTGTTCGTCGACCCCGTATCTCTACGCAGCCAACCACAGTGTGCTCGTGACCTACGACGATCCGCACAGCTTTGCCGCCAAGGGGGCATTCATACGCGCCAACCAACTTGCTGGATTTTCCATGTGGGAGGTCGGCGGCGACCCGAACGGCGTGCTACTTGATGCTATATGTGAGTTTTTTCGATGTTCCAAGAAACGCTTTCCGTGCTAATGCGTTGAGAATTTAGTGTCCGCGCCGATAAACGGGAGCTTGACGGTCCCATCTACTGCCGTACCTAGTGCACAGTCCTCCCCGTCGGGTTCCACAACATCCGAGAACAGTGGGGTAAAATACCGGGAGAATTGGCTACCCCTTCTTGCTTTCTGTGTGTATGTTGCACTCGTAGTACGGTGATCTGCATGTAATGTTGTGGCACGGACCAAGGTAGCAAATGTAATTGTAATTGTGGCTCAACGTCATGTCCGAACTGCCCTCCAACAGAACCCCGAAATTGCCTTTCGGGGACAAGTCCATTTTTCACACCCAACATGCACGTTGACTGAGGCTACGAGTCAGAACGAGTCATCCAAATAGGAGCCGAGGATTTCGCTCGGGATCTGGGGCGAGCAAATCGAGATCTGGGAGTCCAATTTCCCCGAATAACTATCCTGTGGACGAGCACTGCGGCCCAGCCCAGCCGAGCCCGACTCCCTCTCCTTCGGTTGGCTTGTGACTTGTCCCTAGATCTATCAGACCGCCGAAAGGATCGAAATAAATACAGCGGCATGGTCAGAAGAATCGGTTCGGTTTTGGGCCCTTATTGCTGGGGCAAAAGGTCCATAAGCGGAGCTCGAAATGGATTCCTGAGAGCGATTCGAATGATAAGGCAAGGGTGAATGGGAAGAAGAAGGCACCTACGTTCCACAGGTTATCTATCCTTGATTCGGGTTCAAGCTTCTCAAAGGCGACGTTGACTTGGATTAAAAGGTACAAGTAGCAGTCCTACCCCGACTTGGTCTCGGGCTCGTGAATCCACACACGGAACGCGACCTCATTGGCCAAGTCTCTGAGGCGGCGGATGTCCTCTGTATGCTGTGGCAAATCGGCATCGGAGAAATGAACAACGAGGCTGGATAAGGAGGCCTTCTCAACGCCCATGCGCCGAGACGCCACCATGTCCGCCAATAAACCGTCTGTGGAAGAAAAGGACGATTGGAGAAGTCGGATAATGCGTAGATCAGGGCAGAGATTCTGATCTGGGGATGCTTCTCGCAATGTGAGCAGGGTCAACAACTGGCCCGTCATGCCATTGCCAGTGAGCGCTCGGAGCTCCAGAAGGCGTAGGGCAGGCTGGGTGCGAAGCAAAGCGATCAAGTCGGGTTCAGGGATATGGAGTGATTGGAATATCGCCACGTCCAGCTTGGAGCGGCATCGAGCGAGGCAATGGACGACCTCGACTTGTGGGATAAAGGGAGCGAAATCGGCGAACACGTTGATGTTGGCCAGGGCGGGGACGGAAAGCCGTCGGAAGAGCGGGTTCATATCAACCTCCGACCAAATCCACAATATTGCGAGATCGGGCAGGACGATGCGGCCAACGTCGGCGGATCCGGCGTGATTGATATATACAGAGAGACTGCGAAGTTTGGGGGCATTCTGCATGATCTGCGTGACTTGGTACATGGGCCGCCAGACTGGGACCAAATCAAGGACGGTTAAGCGTGTCCAATCGATATCGAGCCACTCCAGGTCGTTGCCCCAGTACAGCGTGTGAAGCTGGGGCGACGATTTCAAGAGCTTTGCAAGCCCGGATATCTGAGGGCGTTGGGCAGTCGTCACCCAAAACTCGAATTTCGCGATTTGGAGAAGAAAATCGCCGTCTGGAACGAGTGCGAGAGATCGCGGAACAGGATGGCAGGGAAGAATAAAAGTGATGCTTCGCCATCGGCGAATGTGCGGTAAAAATATTTGGAGAACCTCGTCGACAGTTTCGGCAGCACTAGCACACTGATCGGAACTGTGCACAACGAGTGAAAGTGGCTGGCTCGCGGATCTTGTAACCCAGGTGGCGATGAGCGGCCTAGAAGGCCGTAGATTGTTGTTCTCCCCTACGGAAATCGCCAATCGCGCCCAGAGCTGGGGCGTAGCAATGGCAATGGTCCGCCACAGTGCGCAGACTCTGCAGAGAAGTAACGGTGCCTCGGTCGAGGAAAAAGGTTTGTCGTGAGGGGCGTGGGCATCGGGAAGACAGGATTTGAATATATGCTGCAGGATTTCGATAGGCGCGCTTGCAATGGGGCCAATCGTATGGGCTATGAAGGATTAAATGGTTGATTCAATGCCAAGTTGTAACTCACAGTCAGGATGACAAGTTGTCGCCATTGGAGCTGGGCTTCCACGACTGCAAGTCCTCGATACTTATAGCTCTCAGCACTCGAGGGTGGCGCAAGCAGCAGAGATGCATATGACAACACCGGAGACAGGCTAGATTGTATTAGGGGCCGAAAAATTGACGTAGGTCGTGAGACGTTGTCTGCCGTGAGCTGGTTTGGATTGCAACTGCCGCGTTCAGGACGCCGGAGACTGGATTGGGCGTTCAGGACGCCGGAGACTCGGAGTGTGTGCACAAAAACTCCATTACGTCCAAAGTGGGCGATTTCTGTTTCTTCTTTCTTTCTTTGAGTTCCTAGTATTCCAGAAAAAATGAACCTGAAAGTGAAGCTCTTGCAAAGGAGTCACAATTTGGGCATTGTGACGTACCGATTCTTGTTGAACTCATGCAGACAGAGGAAGCTACAAACCTTGAGAAAAATCCAGTATTAGCCTTGAGTGCTTTCCGAGTCTTCCGGAAGCGTTGAACGTGTGATGGGATGAGGGACTCGTTCCCTGAGATCATCGTTTTCAGCAAGATTCCCAAGAGCCCAGGGGTAGCGGGAGAAGGGTGACCGGGCGAGGATGGAGGCAAGAGCAGATGACCGTAAACTTGACATCACGCCAGACAGTGCCAAACATCACGCAGCTCAGTCTCTCTCAATGTGGGCTCAATTCGCGGTCGTTCTGTGCGGCCTCCATGCAGTCCAGGCCGTCAATGTATACCTATTCCCCCAGTCAACCAAGTCCTTCCTTCGCCCCAATTTGGCACCAGAGGATGCAAGTGCTGCCCTCTCGCACCATCTCGGGCTTGAGTTATTCGACACTCTGCGGGATGGCTCTGCCCTGAATTATGCCGAGCAGCCCTTTGTCGGACAGGGCCCGAATAACGCCCTGCTCCTCACGCTGGAAGAAGCCGACGCAAAAGGTCTGTCTATTGCTCGTCGTTGCACATTTGAAGCTGATCACATCCGTAGCTGTAATACCGTCCTCTTTACCTCGTTCTTTCAGGCTCCCAGCTTCCCCCTCTTCTTCAATAACATCCCTTTACTCGGTTGTCTCGACGTACCTGCACCGTGCCCAGCACGCATACACCTCCATCTACGCCTCTGACCCCTCTTTGCAAACCAACAAAGCATGGTTCCTCGAGGAACTCGCTTCCATCTCCTCCTTCTTCGACAAGGCCGAGAGTGGTGCTTTTGCTGCTGCGGAGCTGTCTGGACTCGCGAACATGCGTAAGACGTACGGCGTCGACAGCGAGGAGTACCAGACCGTCCTCGACAATACGCGCAAACTACTTGAACGGGCCATGTCGCACAACATCCACATCGCGCTGCTTTCCTTCTCGCCTCCCCCAGTCAGGGTCAAGCGCGCGGACGACCCTCAGGTGTCGCAAGCCCCGTTCCCCCGCCCACCTCCTCAATCCCCCATCGGCTCCATTTCTACCTGCCACACGTCGCTCGACACATGCACCAACTCGACATCGTCGTGCTCAGGCCGTGGCGAGTGCGTCAGTGCGACCAAATCCGGGCGTACGTGCTTCGTGTGCAGCTGTGGTACGACCACGACAGGCCAGGGCAAGCAGAAGTCGACAGAAATTTGGGTGGGCGAGAGCTGCGAGCGGAAAGATATCAGCGGGCCATTCGTTCTTTTCACGGGCACGACCATCGTCCTGCTGCTCGTCATCGCAGGCTCCATTGCGCTGCTCTCTAGCGTAGGCAACGTCGAGCTCCCGAGCGTCCTCCTTGGCGGCGCTGTCAATGGAAAGAAGGATTAGGCGTAAGTAGTTGACTGGGCCGAACCCTTTATTGTAACTATGATCGCAAGCTGCACATTAATGAACCCAATCTGAATAGAAGAGTACTTCTTGGGCGAGAAAGGTCTGAAGATGAGAAACGGAGCAGAAGACGGTTAAGAAGAAAAATTCAAACGGTAAAAGAACTCTCGACCAGGGAGTCGAACCCTGCTCTCCCGCGCTCACAAGGATCAGATGCCCATGACAAGCGGGTGTACTGAACCGATATACTAGTCAAGAACTAAGGGACAATATCAACGTTTCCACATCACCAAGGCTGATGAAGAAGATTTAACAAAACTCAAATCTGTCTTGAGTTCTCCATCCCCATACTCTAAACCATAAATAAGCATTAGATGATAGCTATGCCGCTGGCGGTCGATTATCGCCTGTGTGTAAGACTACCTGGTATACATACGGATCGGCACGTCCTTTTGGCGGTCGTGCCCGCGCCCAGCCACCCAGCGGACACGAAATGTCCCACTCCCGCCCTCGTCTAAGTCATCCGAATGCTAATCGGCTCCTTACCATCCACCAGCCGCTGGTGTATTATGTTGCTCGTATAAGACGACCACCCGTTGCCCATAAACACCGCGGCCCTCCGCGCAATCTCCATGTCAGCCACCATCGCCACCTCTATCTGCTCCGCGTCGAGCACCAGATCTCTTGTCGACCGCACGACGGTCCAGTGTGAGGAAGCGGAAACGAGGGAGAGCACCTCGGTGAGGTAGTCCGACTCGAACTCGTTCGTGAGGAGGTACAACACGTCCACTTTCCTCTCTCCATCCTTCTTATCACCCGCAGCAACGTATTCTGCTCGCGCGGTAGCAATACGCTCGGCAAGCTGCTCAGCGGTCGGCAGGCAGTGCCTCAAAACCACGTCCTTGTCTCCCTCGCTGCGCTTGAAATGGTCGGGTAGGAAGGGGAGCTGTGCCCACGAGTAGTATTGGCTGCCCCACTCGGCAAGATTTGGACAGTGCGGGACGTAGTCCCCGCGGCGGATATGCACAGCCAAGATGCGATCGTAGGGAATGACGGGATCATGGGCGTATCCAGGAGATGGGCGGGCGGAATGAATTGACGCTGGCGTTTGAGGGAACAGATAGGCGTTGCGCGAGAGAGCAGCCATGACTACCGGTGAAGGTGCTAGGAGCCTGGAGGCAGGGGAAGACGAGAAGAGTGGCCACAGAGGAAGCACACGCTGGTCACCCCAAAGCCACAGGTCGATAACCTGGGGATAGAAGTCAACTGTGTAGTGAGGTGGAACGATCTCGACGCAACGGGCGTCGCCGACGTGTTGTAGTTCTTTGCTCAACAGTTCGTTCCAGGAGGCAAGCGTGGACGAGGGTCGTAAGAGGTCGACCCACGCCTGCAATACCTTGTCCCCAGGTAATTCTGATAGCGCTGGCTTCACCGCCGTGGTGTCCACGAGCACGCGCTCATCGGGGGGACACACTTTTTCCCAATAGTCGGTAGAAACGGACCTCGGTGCTGAATCCCCCTCCTCCCACGGGCCACCGGCGAGCGGGCCGGAAACAATGGCAGTCAAAGGTGTGCTGGGGCCATTGAATGTGGGTCTAAGCCATTGGTTCTCCGGCCAAGGGTAGTGATGTGGGGCCCAGATATATGGCATGAAGACGTAGGAACGCCCAGTCAGATATGCGATATGCAGGTTCATGAGCTCTTCGTTGAGGCAGTTATTCCAACCTAGCCCCTTGGCCTGGTTGGAGAACCTGACGTAGCGCCCCGTGCGGCCCTCTGGAAAGGGGAGGGACGGGTCGTGTTGTGGAAGCGCGGCTTCCCACTTGAGTACAGCTTCCCAGTTTGATGGAGGAGGAAGCTTTGAGGGTGCGCTAGGTGAATCTGCTGAGGATGCAGACGAAGAAGAGTGGGGGGTGGTCGTTACATGCTGGTGAGCGAGGCCAGTGAGTGTGAGGAATGTGAGAAACGCAAGGGCGACGCATGCGAACTGCTGGCGACGACCAAGGCGGGATTTTATAGCCCACAACCAAGGACGTGAGGTGCCCCAGTCTTGTGAGGATTGTCGCTGGTACCGAGGCGAGACCATGACCGGATGGAAGCAAATAACTTGCCAAGCTCAACGCGGTCACAAACATCTTCTCTCTCAAATTGTAGCCGCCATGACTGCTGGTGGCTTCGCGCCGCTCCCTTCTGCCAATGCCTCCGCGCGCTTTACAGGCACTGCTCGCGTCCTCGGTCCACCTATAACGCACCTTGCCACCCTCACCGTCTGTCTCCTCGGTGTCCAAATCTTTTGGTCGGTGGAGATGTCTTACGCCTCGCCATATCTCGTCTCTCTGGGCCTCACACCATCATCTGTTGCCCTCGTATTACTAGCTGGGCCACTCAGCGGGCTTATTGTCCAACCGTTAGTTGGAGCGCTGGCAGACGCGAGCACATCGCGCTTCGGCCGACGAAGACCCTTCGCACTCGGCGGATGCATCGTGACTGTGGCTGGAATGCTTTTGCTTGGGTACACTCGTGGCGCTGCTGCTCTGTTCACGGAACGTGGAGGCACCGCCCATGGCCGGCTGACTGTGGGACTCGCCGTCCTCAGTATTTTCATCATCGACTTTAGTATCAACGTTGTTCAGGCCGTTGACCGCGCCTTGCTGGTGGACACGCTTCCTCCCGCGCGACAGGCAGCGGGAAATGCCTGGGCCGCCGCCATGCTTGGCGTTGGGTCAGTTGTGGGTTTCTTCGTGTGCGTGGTCTGGTTCTGACTTTAAAGCACGTAGCTAACATGTGGAAAATAGAGGCAATCTACCGCTAACGACGCTCCTACCATTTCTGCACGCCACCTCGGAACTCGAAGCCCTCGCACCGTTGGTCTCTCTTCTCCTTGTTGTCTCGCACGCATGGACAGCATGTCTCGTACGAGAACGCGTGTTGCTTCCTTCCCCGTGCGCCTCAATTTCCCCGTTCTTCAAATTGTTCTAAGTGCAGAAACAAGTCGGACACGGAGCAGTCCCGTGGAACGGCAGGGTGGGATCGTTCACAAGGTTCGCGCCTTATATGCAAATTGGCGTACGATCCCTAGAGTCATACGAATGATTGTAGGCTCTGCTGTCTTTACCCCTTGAGCTACGCACTCACCTCCGCAGTGTTTCACCCAGTTCTTGTGCGTCGTGAACTCTTCCCTCTCTCAATACATGACACCTATACCAATAGTGCCTGGCTCGCATGGTTTCCCGTCCTGTTCTACACCACTTTATACATCACGGACATCTACGTCCAGTCCCTGCCTTCATCAAGGCGGAGGGAAGGCGACCAAGAAGCGACTGACGCCGCGACTCGCCTTGGTGCTCGCGCTCAACTATTGTCAGCACTGCTGGCGTTGACGGCGAATGTGGTGCTTCCGTGGGTTGTCCCCTCAGCATCCTCTTCTGACAAGAAGCGCGGTTTCCGCAACTCGAGACTGATGGGCACCGAGTCGACCGGGGCACCTTCACTGGGGATCCCGGGGGAGAGAAAGAGTTGGAAGGTGCCGCTTCCAATGATCTGGGCTGCCAGCCATGCTTTGATAGCAGCCTGTATGTTTGGAACTTTGTGAGCACATTTACTCGTTTGTGTTTGCATTTTGCTGAACGCCCTCACTAGCCTTACACACAGTGTAGCAGGCGCAACCGCGCTCATTACACTGACGGGAGCCGCATGGGGGGTCACACAATGGGCTCCGTTTGCGCTTCTTGCGGAAGCTATTCTTACTTCCCCGCTCTCACCTTCCGCGTCGACTGTCGCCCTCAGTGGGCCGTCCATTCGGCTCCAGGATGCACGGACAAAAGATGTTGAAGAGGAAGCACAGTTTCTCGTTGCAGATGAGGAGGAGAATGGAAGTGAAGATGGTGCCGAAGGGAGTGAAGATGATGAGCCGGTGCTTGTTCAGCGGGAAGATGCGGAGGATGGTGAACAGAAACCACGAAGCGGGGATACCCTTCTTGGGAATCTTCACGCACAGTTGAGTGTAGTGGATGTGCGGACCCCGTTATCAGTGGCTGGCCCCTCTTCCTTGGCGATACCGGCTTTTGTCAACCGCCAAGACGGTTGGGGAGCTGACCCTGAGGCAGACGGGGGTGAGGACGAAGGAGAAGCCAACGGGGGACTTAGTGCGAAAGCTGGGGTGATCCTGGTCAGTGTTTTGGTTCATCTCGCGAGGAAGGATGTGCTGATTCCGGGTATTGCAGGGAATTCACAACGTCTTTATTGTTATACCACAGTTCCTCATTTCGGCACTCGCTGCAATCGTCTTCGCACTAGCGGATGGACCTCGACCCGCACCCGCACATCCACTGCCAATACCCGTGGGAAACACGACGATGGTGGCGGAGAACACTGAGGTGGAAGAAGGAACGGGACTGGCGCGCAACTCGGTTGTGATTGTTTTCCGGTGCGTCCTCTTTTTCTTCCATTGATGATTTCGACTGACGAGTGTACACCAAGGATCGGAACGATCTGGGCGTGTATCGCGTTTGTTCTGGCTTGGCGGCTTGCACGAGAGATGCGGCGCGCTGGCAGCTAGATGCGCTTTTTTAAAATACACGGACGCGCTTTACCATATCGTACATTATCATACATTCACTGTCGACTTGTTTCCCTGTATTATTTACTCTTATATAGATTGTATGATATAGCCAGCCAGGGTATTATTTCCTAATCGAGACTTGGGAGTAGTACCCTCGATTTGGAAACGTCATGTTTGTAAGTGTTTTCTGCTCTGTTCTCACTTGGTATATACATGTCCTTGTAGTACAGGATAAATCAATGTCCATGCTTCATGGTTTCTCCTTGGGCGGAATACCATATCGCTCCCTTTCCTTCGCAGTCCATTCAAAGATGGGCAACGGATGTGCCTCTGTGTTGAACACAAACTTGTCCAATGGCACGATATCTTGACCCACGAACATCAAATAGAGGTATTTTAATCTGCAGAGACGCTTCGTTAGTAACTTGCCCGTGTCAAAATGCAAAAAAACGCACGTTTCAGCGAGGAAGAAGCTGGGCATTTCGTCGAGATGTTGCACAGGTAATGAGTCAACGTTCTTGATGCTGGCGTAGCCTTGATCCCGCCGGGCGTGTTTCTCGATGGCCTCGAACACCGCCCTGGCAAGGTATCAGTGGTGCCACACAAGAAGAATCCACTTACCATCCACGTTCCCGCCACACCTCATCCCCGGTAACCCGCCATAGAATGTAGAAACTCTCGACGGCCTGCAAAAAGA